CCTTCTTATGCAACACAAAAAATGTTTTGTTTTCTGAGTTTAGGTCTTCTGAGCTCATTGGATTTAGACAAGTGCTGCCACTGGATCTTTCTTTGTCCTGTTCTCTGCCCTTGGCACACGTTATTATTTTGTAGGAACTGATATGTATGTTTTTAAGCCGTAATGGCTGCTAGGAGATCAAACCAACTGAATGGGTCATCCAGCCTTATTTTCTATGATGATTATAAAACCCTATGAAATAGAAGTTTATGGTCAAGTTATGTTGATGTAAAATGATTAAAAAGGATTATAAAATTTTGGTACTTGTAAAGCAGTTATGACTACAAAGTAGAGTAAGTATTTATATTCTATATTTTATAATCTTGTATTAGCATTTTTACTTTAAAGCTGTTTTTGATTTAAACTGTGCACCATAAGTAGATTTGTAGCATGACATACTTTCTTCAATTTAGTACAGAAAATGCGTGAGCACATTCACAAAGAAATGCAATGAATGGATTTTGTTTTTCATAAGATGATCATTTTATTGTTTAATTAGCATTAACTGTATATTTGTGTTACAAGAAATACTGACAGAATTCTCTTCCTTCCTTCCTGTTATGATTATTTAGGAAAAGAAGCCCATCAATATCAAGAGAACAGAACAGAAGATACGACCAAAGGGACGAGAGAGACGAATATTCACAGTATGCTACATCAGACAGTGCGATGCCCAGGTCACCATCAGATTATTCAGATAGGCGGTCACAGCGTGGGCCTCAGTTATATGAAGAACCTGAACTGGGTGATTATAGAGATTCCATCAGAAGGAGTCGCAGGCGTTCCAAGGAGTATCCGGTAGAAGAGGAAGATGCACAAAACAGGGAAGAATATGAAAGGCAGCGGAGGGAAGAGGAATACCAGGCACGATACCGAAGTGATCCTAATTTGGCTCGTTATCCTGTCAAGCCACAACCATATGAGGAACAAATGCGTATTCATGCTGAAGTGTCCCGAGCACGCCATGAACGGAGACATAGTGATGTTTCACTGGCAAATACTGAGTTGGAAGATTCTCGGATGTCTATGCTGAGGATGGAACGACCATCAAGGCAAAGATCGGTGTCTGAGCGCAGGGCTGCCATGGAAAATCAGCGTTCATACTCTATGGAAAGAACTCGAGAGGCTCAGGGACCAAGTCCCAATCGTCAGAGGACCACAAATCATAGCCCTCCTACACCTAGGAGGAGTCCAATTCCTCTGGATAGACCAGACATGAGGCGCTCTGATTCATTAAGGAAACAACACCATTTGGATCCCAATTCTGCCGTACGGAAAACAAAACGTGAAAAGATGGAGACCATGTTACGGAATGATTCACTCAGCTCGGACCAGTCCGAATCTGTCAGACCTCCACCACCAAAGCCCCATAAAACAAAAAAAGGAGGTAAAATGCGCCAGGTTTCATTAAGTAGCTCAGAAGAAGAATTGGCATCCACTCCAGAATATACAAGTTGTGATGATGTAGAGATTGAAAGTGAAAGTGTTAGTGAAAAAGGTAAGATTTCTAATTTTTTGACTTTCAATATATAGATGTGGCTTAGTTTCTATTCCATTGTATGTTTATTTTACCTATTAGAATTGATTGTAGCAACATATCTACAGCCCTTCACAGGTGACTCAAGTTTGTTGTGAGGGGAGTTGTCTTCTGATTTTGTGTTTCATTTACTTAAATCTAAATTTAATGATTTACATGGAAAAGAACAAAACAGCTACTAGAAGTATTATATATGCTAAAGGAAAAATATACCTATTGAAAAACCTGTTAGTTAAATCTGCAGAGTATCTAAATCTGAACTGTCATATAAGGCCATGGTTTTGTGTCCATTAATACCAGATTTTTACACTCCTGGATCACAATGTGTGCATATTTGATCTGGATCAAGTATGGCTGCGTGACGGCATTTCTGTTGAATTAACTAGATCAAATGATACAGAGCTTATGCCATTTTCATGCTGGCTGCTGCTGGTTAAAGAGAATCTGATCTTCAAAAAACCCTGTGTGTATAAAGTTAACCCATTCAAGTTTTTAAACAAATTTAGTGACTGATGGAGGTTTCTTTTTGCTGTGGGGCTACAGTGCTTCTTGGTTTAGTGCTTTTTAGGATTCATGATGTTGGAGTTACTCCACTGTCAGAAAGAAAAGCTAAGATTAATTGAAATGATTCCCAACATACCCAATGGTAATGTAGCACTTAAATATGAAGTACTGGAGACTATCAGATTAAACTGAATTGAATTAATTGAATTAGTTTGCTTACCTTCATGTATGTTGTTGGTCTAAAGTACAATAGTTATAACCTGTTTTCAGTTATTATTCTTATGCTAGTGCACCTTTACTAATGAATGGTCATCTGCTTTTGTGGAATAGGTTTAGAAAATTTGCTACTATTTTTTATTAATATTACTATCAAATTGGTTCTGAAGGAAATAATTAATTAGAGTTGGTGAAATAAGTCTGAATTTTCATATGTCAATAGCAATCATGGTCTGATAAATAATGAGTATGATAGTGTAGAACGGAAGGAAATTTTGCAGAGGTGAAAGCAGATAATAAATGCACTTACATGAGATAAATGTGATGAAAGCTTGACCCGCTTAGTCTCGATGAGTATTAAAACTATCAACTTCAGAGTGTTCATGATTTTGTTCTTAGTAGCAACCTTCAGGAAAGTAGACCAAATCAATGTATAGGAAGTAGTAGCAAAGTGTTTATTTGATAGGAAACATAATCTACAAACATATTTTTTGTACCCATAACATACAAAACATACACATTTAGAATCATCGAACTGATTAAGCTGGAAAAGACCTTTAAGATCGTTGAGTCCAACCATTAACCCAGCACTGCCAAGTCCACCACAAAACCATGTCTTTAAGTACCACAGCTACACATCTTTTAAATCCCTCCAGGGCTGGTGCCTCCACCACTTCCATGGGCAGCCTGTTCCAGCGCTTGACAATCCTTCTGGTGGAGAAATTTTTCCCCATACCCAATCTGAATTTCCTCTGGCCCAGCTTAAGGCCATTTCTTCTTTTCCTATCACTTTTTACTTGGGAGAAGAGACTGACACCCATCTCACTACAGCCTCCTTCCAGGTAGTTGTAGAAACTGGTAAGGTCTCACCTGAGCCTCCTTTTCTCCAGGCTAAACAACCCCTGTCCCCTCAGCTGTTCCTTGTGATACTTATGCTCTAGACCCTTCACCAGCTTCATTGACCTTCTTTGGATACTCTCCAACACCTCAATGTCTTTCTTGTAGTGAGGGGCCAGAACTGAATACAGGTTTCAAGGTGAGACCTCACCAGTGCTGAGTACAGGGAGACAATCACTGCCCTGGCCCTGCTGGCCACACAATTGCTGATACAGGCCGGGATGCTGTTGGCCTTCTTGGCCACCTGGGTTCAGCTCCGTCAAAAAGTACCCTCAGCTCCTTTTCTGCCGAGCAGCTTTCCAGCCACTCTTCCCCAAGCCTGGAGTGTTCATGGGGTTGTTGTGGCCCAAGTGCAGGACAACAGCACTGAGCCATGTTGAACCTCATACAAATGGCCTCGGCCTATTGATCCAGCCTGTTCAGATCCCTCTGCAGAGCCTGCCTACCCTCCAGCAGATCAACACTCCTGCCCAACTATGTTGTTGTCCACAAACTTACTGAGGGTGTACTCAGTCCCCTTGTTCAGAACACTGATAAAGATATTAAACTGAACTGGCCCCAAATACTGAGCCCTGGGGAACACCACTTGTGACCAGCCACCGCCTGGATTTAACTCCATTCACCACCACTCTTTGGGCTCAGCCATTCAGCCAGTTTTTACCCAGTGAAGAGTACTTGGGTCTGATCTTATTTCAGTAGCTGTCTTCTTTAAGGTAATTTTTTCCTTGATTTTTAAAAATGTAACCTGATTGTTTTCAGGGAGGGGACAAGACACAATTAATTTTCTGCATATTTTTGGTAACGGCCAGAGAAACCATTCCCTTGGAATGCTCATGCCTCCTCTCTGTGGGGGACAAGAGAAATTCTAAGCAGAGAAAGTTGATGAACGCCCACACAAAATTCAGGTACACAAGCACGGTGAAGAGCTTTGTAGATCGATTCAACTGCAGAAGAGAAGAGCTAGATTCTTAAGACACTACACAGTAATGCAACTATATTTGGACTGGGAAATTTGGGTCATAAACTAGGCTGAGGACTGGCATACTGGAATCCGGAGACTTCAGAAGAGTGAGCAGACAAGAGGAGGAAGTTTAGGAAAATGAAGAGGGGAGAGCAAAGCTGGTACATCAAGTATGCTAAACCTGTGACCAGTAGTTTGGGAAAGACAAAGTGGAGGAAGCAGATAACAAAGATAACTGAGAATGTGAGAAGTACAGCTTCCTGAGCTCTAGGTTAGAGAATTCTGAGGTTGGCTGAGAAGCAGAAGCAGCAGTTTGAGAGAGTCGGTGCATGGCTGGGAAAAGAGTCTTCAGAGACAAGGACAGGAAGGCTGAGCTGAGCTGAGCTTGGGAGCTTTGGCAAAGAGGGAATGGGACTCCCTTGAGCAAGGAGCATGGGCCTGGCAGTATTGACTTAAAGTGCTGAGAGGGGGTTTGGTGAGGTGAGAAGTCCAGGAATAAGATGAGGAGCCAGTGGTGTGACAGACCAGTTCATTCTTTAAAAGGTCAGGAGACAACACATGACAACAGTGTTAAATGGACATAATTGAGATTCTAAATATATTTACCTGCAACTTAGATTGTGCCAGAATTAGGCATATTTTGCAGCATAAACATTATGCAAGGCTTCAAATACATTAAAACTGTCATTAGTGACATAACTGAATACTAATTTACTAGTTGGACTATGCCTTTTTCTGTGCATAAGATGAACAATTCTTACTCATCGTGCTATTCAGAATTTTCTGAAGCTCACAAGGTGTTTTCCAAGTTATATAAGGGACCTTTGTTTACTCTTGCTGTGAATACCAGGCTTCTGAAACTGCAAATACAGTGTCTCATTTTGCAATACTTGTTGTGAGTCCTGGTGAGCAGGGTAGCAGACAGTTGAAGGCTGTGTCTGCATGGCAGGATTCCCTGTCTGTGTTAGGAAATACACTTTGCAGAAGAAAAAAAAAAGGTGACAGATATGTTTTGGAACAAATATTAGGTACATTTCTATTTTACCTAATACTGAAAGAAGAAAATGGCTTAAAATATTAGAGAAAAACAATTCTTGAAATGCCAGTGCTTTTATGAAAAATTTTAAATGACAGTAAAATGGATCCTCCCTCAGTAAAAATAAGGATCATAATGACTTATTTTTAAACCTTCTAGATTGTTCAATTCACAAATTCTTTCTCAAAATCATCTCAGTTTACTTGGTTCAGTGTCAAGGCTCTAGAAACATGGTTTATAAAGTAAGAGTGGTTGTGATGTTAATAGCAGTAAAGTGAACATTGAACCATGTTACCTACAAAGCTCCGAATGAAGCTATGTTTTCTGTGGTGTGCAAGTTAGGCCAAGCTGTCTCCATTGCTTTCCCAATTTATGTGTCTTCTATTGTGCAGGACTATTAAAGTATTTTTTATTTGCATGTTCAGGTAGATGTTTGTCAGTGCAATTGTAAGAAATAGTCTTTAAGGTAGGTTTGAAAGGTCCCCCATAATTTGTCAGCCACGATGAAGCAGATGCGTATCAGAGTGCTACAGGTTTGTGGTGTGTGTCCACAGGCTTTCCAGGTAGAGTTAGAAAATCAAACAGCACCACCGCCTAAGTATTACTTGTGGCAATACTGTCACACCTGCAGTCTGCCAGAGTGCCAGTCTGAAGAGACTTGACACAGCCATGCTCAGGAAAGCCAGTGGTCCCTGGGGCTGTCATACCCCTACTCAGAACACAGGCAAAGAAGAGGTGACCTGTGCTGGAGCTGGGGTTCCTTCTGCTCCTTCCCTAAACATTTAGGGCTTCTGGATGTCCTACAATTCTTTATAAATCTCTCAAACTCCATGGTTCCAGCAAAAGGCAATCTCACCATGGAAAAAGAGATTTCATTCAAGGAAGTCTAGGTACGTGATAGTTCTAAATACTGCTCTGATTTGCTCAAAATGTAAAGTAGGACATAGTAGATTTTCCAATGGTGGTAAACAGTTCAGGCATACGTGCATAACATGCTCCTAGCCACCTTCCAGAGCACCCTGCGAGAGGTATCTCTTTGCACAGACGGTGGCTGACATCTCATGTGGGTGGAATCTGTTGTGGGAAGGGCAGTTTTGTCTGTATTTTGTCAGAGGTGCAGTTCTTAAGTTTACTGTTCACTTTCACTGTTCCTTTATAAAAACATGATAGCTAGACGAGGTGCAGCTCCACCAGTGCTGAGTACAGGGGGACAATCACTCCCCTGGTCATACTGGCCACACTATTTGTAATACTGGGATGCTGCTGGCCTTCTTGGTCACCTGGACATACTGCTGCTCATATTCAGCCAGCTGTTGACCAACCCCCGCAACATAACATGTGGATAGA